GGGGGGGGGCGGGGCGGGGGCGCAGGGTCGAGGGCAGGCCGCATGTTGGGCGGGGTGTGGGGCGGGCAGTGGCGGCATCATCGGGCGGGTCACGCGGCGTGCAAGGTGACCCCCTTCAACCATAATGCCTGGTGTAACGGCAGCAGCCGCGGCTGTTTGAGGGCGTGCTGTGGTTTACATGTTCGTCGAAGCAGATCGAGCACGTTGCTGCCTGGCTGAAGTGCGTAGGCTCCTGCGTCAGTACGTCCACAGCACGTGTGCTTGTGCTGCGCTCTGGCCCACTGCGCACACCTTGGTTAATACAGGTTGCAACGTAAGTGCATCCACGCATCGCTTGGTCCCTGTGACCTGCCGTGATGGCTGGCTGCTCGTGGACGAAGGGCCGGACGAGTGCCCCGGCGACGCCATATCTACAGCGCCAAAGATGTATGCAGCCTTCAAATAGAGCCAGTAAGACGTCTAGATGAACTTCGTCGCAGCAAGCATGCAGTGACGAGGGTGGGTCGATTGCCGTGCCAGGGCGTCTAGAGTGGTCGCAACCGTGAACACCGCGCACAACAGATGTAGCGAGCTGTCTTGCCTGAAGAAACAACTCAAACTGTGCTCGCAGCAGGTGTCAAACGCCGTCCATGCATTCACAATGTGTTATCGGGCTTGACACCCCATGATACATGGTAATGTATCTATGCAAAAATTCCATAACATATCGCCCCGTGTCACGTTTATTTCCGACCCCCGAGCTCCGACCCGATGTGCCAGAAAGATGAACGCAAATCATGAAAAGAATGGGGCTCTCCGGGCCCGGGCACCGGTTAGTACGTGTTTTTCTCGTACCTGAAATAAAAGTATACCTCATTACCTTGGAGTCGTAGTCGGCCGTCACCGTCTCACCTTGGATCAAAGGAGCAAGTGTGCGGCAAGCAGCAGAGTGCACAAAGCGAGTGGGGTATCCCTGCCCGTACCCGTTCCACCGGAACTCATATCACAAAATCACCTGAGCGCTGAAATAGATTAAATTTGTTGGTAGCATGTATGCAGTGACAAGGGTCGGTTAAGACTGTGGGGCGTCTATGGTGACGTGGTCACCACTGCTGAAGACACATGGCTGTGGTGGCTTCATCGCAGCACATCCAGGCTCGCAGACCCGCTGAACAGGGCCCGGAAATGCTGGGGAGGAAGTGCAGGCGTACATAATGCGGCAACGTAATCACAAGGGGACCCACCAGCCCCTGCGCCGCTCACTACGGTACAATACCTTGCTTGGGTGCGGCGGGGTGGACGTGGCCTCGGCGGCTTTGCACCCAGCAAGCCGGCCCTCCCTCCCGGAAGGATCCTCAAAAGTCATGCAGCCCATGCCCGTGTAGCGGCCAAGGTTAGGCGTCACATGACCTTTCCTTTGTCGGGGCAGGGTACAGCTCACCAATGCAACACCACTGGCAGTGTAGCTTTCAACTGCGCTAGGCGTCAGCGTGTTGCCTATGTCCTCTCCTTCGCTCCCTCCCTCCCTCGCTCCCTCCCTCTTGCGTGCGCGCGTTCTGGTCGAGCCTGCATCAGCTGGCGCAGCATGTACAAACGTGCAAGGCGGCTACCCATCGACTTGACCCCCATCCCGTTGTATGCATAGATAATTCGATTATGATAATCAAGTGTCGCCACCGAATTCCTTCTGGGCTGTTCGTTGCCCCGCACTTGGTTCGTCACCGCCGCGACTCCGCGACATGACGGTGGACAAATTTGGTTCAATAAGAAAGATTGCCATGAGCAGCAAACAGAAATGACTGACAACGTCTTCACACCCCCAAACTAGATCTATCCTCGGAGCTGCATCATGGACGAGCCCGGCGCCGACGGCGCCCCGCCGCTGCAGCCGCACCCCAACCCTGTCCGCCAGATCCACACGTGGTGCAAACGCGCCAAGGCGGAGGCCCCCGAGTTTGAGGTCGTGCGCGTGGCCTGCCCCGACGACCCCCTGATCCCCGAGACGCCCGGATTCATATGCAACCTGAAGGTCCCGGGGACACTGGATGAAGACACCGGGGAGAGGATAGAGGACCTGGTGAGCTGCGAGGCAGAGGGGTTGGGGGGATGCATGCATATGACCCTGCGCTGGCGGGAGGGCTCGTGCTGCTGTGATCTGATCGCGCCGCCGCGCGCCTCGTCAGCGATGCATCAGTTGTCGCGAGTCGCGGCTTCGCCAGACGCCGCCGGCAGGCGCTGCGTCCGGCATCCCGCGCCGGTTTACCCCAGGAAATGGTGTTCCAAGGCTGTTGGTGCCAAGGGGCTTCCAAACCGCAGTCGTGCGCGCAATTCGACTCGCCTCTCGCGTCACACCAGGCGCACCCGCCACCGGCCCCACCCCTTCACCAACCCTGCAGCCCCCGTCGCGCAGTTTCTGAACCAGCACATGGCCCTTCGAACACCCCACCAATTCACACCCCACCACAACGCACCACGCCGCTCTGCATGGGACCACCCCAATGACCCACCCGGGGCAACGCGACAGGAGGTTCAAGGGGAGGGCGCCTCGTACGGCGAGGCCAAGGCCGCGGCCGCCACAGTTGCCGCGGAGCTGCTGTCGCGCACCGCGCTCTGGCGGTCGCGCATGGTGGACCTGGAGCCTGCCCCCAGCCTGTGGGGGACCGTGGCGCTGGCCCTCAGCGACCAGGTCACAGGGACGGGCACGGGCCCTTGAAAGATCGTGCCCCGCGGATGGTTTGGTTTCTGCTTTTCAGCCATGATATTATACACCGGGCTGACTCGCCCTCGCTGCTTGCGTGGCTCCGCAGCGCACAGCTACAGTTGAACCCTGCAGCTGCTTGCAGCGCCCATGATCACGAGCATTCTGCAACGTTGCTGGACACGTCATCCACACGCCGCACCCGCACCGTGAGATGCTCAACCACTGATCCCTCCATTGACACACAGTGCCCCAGCTGCTGCCGTCTCCAAACCCAGAGCAGCCACGCTGTGTGCACCCACCGCCCACCCAGGGACTGCACAAGGACCTCGAGCTCAGGACCTTCACCCTGCTGAGTCAGCAGTCCCAGCCCGCGTCCTCCTCGACCCCAGAGGCCGCGCGCGCGACGCTGCCCGTGACCCTGCTGACGCACGCCAAGCTGGTGGGGCGGTGGTTCAGGACGCACTGCCAGGCGGCCGCGGGGGACCCCCACTTGATGCTGGGGGAGCTGATAAAGCGGAGGGCCGAGGAGGCGGAGGGCAGCGACGACGCACTGCTGGAGGCGGGTGCGTTTGACGACCGGGTGTTAATTTTGTGTACACTCATGTGGGGGTTGGTCTTGTGTGGTTGTGTGTTTGTTTCGTGGGTAGAAGGCATTATCTTGTTCAACGGACCGGCCATCATAATTCCTTCATCTCATGAGGGGTTGGCTGCACCGACGCTGCGACTTTTCCTTTGCTCAGGAATTCCTTTGGCTGCCTACAGCCTTTGGTAGTAGCACCCCATTCGCTCTGGGGGACCAAAGGCTGTAGGTGGCCAAAGGATTGAGGCGAATCCAATCCTTGGGAGGACCTCATCACTCCAGCTGGGCCTCCTCCCGCCTCCCCGTGCATCCATCGCCCACCCTTCACGGGCCCACGCGGCCCGGCCAACGCTTGATTGGTTGTGCACGCCTTCGCACCCCGACCGGCCCCGGCCGCAGGCCTGGTCCTGGTGGAGGGCGGCCTGTGCGTGCAGCGGCTGGCGGCCTATTTCCCGCCCTCTGAGCAGTACACCGTGGAGACAGAGGTGTGGGACCCAAACCCCGTGGCCGTTAAGATTCCCGCAGATCCATGGTGCGCACGCCCTTCGGTACGCGCACAGGCTGGGGTGTGCCTTGGGTCGAGCAGCAGATGGAAGGCGTGCAGGGGGTAAGGAGGTGCGAGTGCGCAAGGTGCTACCTAGCAAGCCCCCCAGACTTGGCAACAGCGTTTCGTGGCTGCTCGATGAGCGTGATGACGCATGTTTTGCTGGGGCGCTTGGCAGGCCAACGGGTGCGTGATGTGCCGCGCTTCGATGCTGTATGTCAAGGCTGCACGGAGAGCAGCCGCCAGGTCCACCCACTCCCAGCTCGCACACCTGATTATGTCCCCTCGCCACCGTGATCAAATCAGCCTTGAGGTGGAGGAGCTGCCCCTGGACCCTGGAGCAGGGGACATACTGGGACAGGTCTGTGTGTGGGAAGGGAGGTCCCACACCCCCCAAGAGGCGGGGGGGGGATGGGTCGATTGATTCGCTGCAGTGCATGTGCTAGTCTCATCAGATGCCAGATCTCGTAGCAACCATATTCCCTGCCGATTTACCTTCTGATGCTGTGGTGTGCGAGCCCCCTCTGCTGCTGCGGCGTCTTGAATTTGATGGGGTGCGTGCCAGCAAAATCCTTCCAATTTCCAACCGCGGCGGCCACCGCAGATGGCGCGACTGCTGGGGGCGCCGTCGGTGGGCCGCCTGGTGCTGTGGGGCCGTGTCGGCTGCAAGGCGTCCTGGCTGGCAGGCAGCGAGAGGGAGGCGGCGGCGGCGGCAGGTGGGCGCACGGCCGCGCGCATCGTGGATGGGTCCCCCGTGTGCACTGTAGGTGGGCGGCCGTAGGAGCGCCACTAACTCAATCACTGTTGATGGTTGAAGTCACTCACAAACACGCAACCCACAATCGATCCCACCCTTCGCAGCCGCTGGCAGGTTGGTCGGACAGCGTCACAACCGTCGCCCGCGGCCAGAGCCAGCAGCCACAGCCACCACAGAGGTCACCGCAGTGCCGGGCGGCGTCGCAGCCCGCACCGGCGTGGGCGGCCCTGCTGCGGCCACCATCTTTGGGGTTGAGGGGCCCATTGAGGGGGACGATGAACCAGCAGCCAAGCGCGCGGCGCGGACGCCTGCGGCGGCGCCGCCGGGCGGCGGCGACGCGGCAGAGGCAGGCCGGCCCCGCAAGGGGCCGCCCCCTGCATTTTTGACCCCTCCGCCGTTTGGGGCTATGACGGCCACTGACGGCGGCGTCGAGGGCAGTGCTGGAACGGGCGCGCAGGTGCCGTTGTCAGTGCGCAGCTTGCTGGTGGAGGGCCGGGGGCCCGCCGCAATGGACTGGGCGGCTGACAGTCAGGAGGGTGAGTTAAACGTCTAGGTAGCTGGGTTGTGGGCAGCGGTGGGTGTCATGCAAAGAGATGTTTAAGGGCAGCGGTGTCGGCCATTGGTCGGGCGATTCGGGGCCCGCGGTTGGATGAGGGTGGCTGTCTCTCGCAGCATCTTAGCCTTAGTCACCAGCCTTAGTCATATCGCCATCCCGAGTCTGCTTGCGCAGTTTCGCCTCAGGCCCGCTGGTCCATATCTCGACATTCACCAGAGCGCCCTTGCGCCTGAGCGTCCAGTCGATTCTGTGCACACCCCAATCATGCACCCCAACCACCATCGGGCACCATGCTGCATAACCACTCAAACACATCACCCCATGCTTGCAGTGGGCGGGCCGCCCGGACAACGGCGGGAGGCCCCATCCGTGTCGGCCGGTCCCAGCTACGCCAGCATTACTAGTGCAGTTACTCAGCAGCAGCAGCAGCAGCAGCAGCAGCAGCAGCAGCAGCAGCAGCAGCAGCAGCAGCAGCAGCCATTGTCTGCACCGCCGCAGCAGTATGACAGCGGCGGCGGCGACCGCCGCGGCAGGGGCCAAGGTTTCGGCGGCCGTGGCTGGTCGAACGGGCGCGGACGCGGGCGGTTTTCGCGCGGCGGGCGGGGCTTTGGCGGCTCCGGCGGCGGCGAGGACGGCGGCGCCGGCTCCAATGAGATCAAGCTTTCAGAGCCCAGCCTCTATTCCTTGCACTTTTTTCTGCCGCCATCGTCGATTCAGGCGGGCGAAGTGGGGGCGGAGGGCCGAACGGAAGGCGAGGGGGCGGACGGGGCCACAGCAGCGGCGGCTGCAGCCGCGCTCCTGGGGCCCGACCAGGGTATGGGCGATATTGAAGCGCTCGAAGGAGCGCAGAGCAGCGGCGGCAATGGCGGGGGCGGCCCAGCGCCGCGCTTCAACGTACGCGCGAGCTGGCTGGCGGGGCGGCAGGTGTGGGGGGATGCTGTCGCTTCTCTCAGCAGGATGACCCCGACCGAGGTGAGGCTTGGGGATGCAGGAAGCTGCTTCTGCTTTTGCTGCTGCTGCTGCTTCTGCTGCTGCTGCGGGTATTGGGGATTAGCCAGGGGGCACGGCACGCACGGTACTGTTGTGCTCAGTGATGCGTGGCTTCCGCCAAGTTGACGCCTGTTTGGTTGAATGGCTGCTGAGGGCAGGCACCGCATGTACCTCGCTCCTCACCTATACGGGTGGTGCCCCCCGCCACGTGCCCCCTGGCCCCTGCCACTTGCCACCCGTCACGCGTCACCCGGCCCCCGGCACCCGGCACCCGGCACCTGCCATCCGTCACCGTCGCCTCCCCCCCCCCCAGCTGGGCCACCACCTGGTGAGGTGGCGCTCCTACAACCGCCGCGACCTGGAGCTGTCACTCACGGCCCTCTTCCCGGGCAGCACCTACCCGCGCGCCCGCCACCTGCCAGTCACCACGCGCCTGCCGCGGGACTTCAGGTCGGACCGCGTTCCCAGGGTTGCATGCCACGAGCCTGTGTGTGCTGTGCGCCTGAGCAGGCACCTGCCCCCTGGCACGCCCAACCAAGTGGTCGCGCCGTTCAGTCCCATCGCCAGCACGACCACACACACATGGTTCTGGATTCCCCTGCGCCGCTCTGACAACATGTCAAGCAGCTGCGCTAGGCAGCAGCACCATGCCTTCGTTGCCCCCTCCTTTGTGAAAGGCCGCCTACGGAGAGCATCACAGGAGCTTGTGCCACCCTCCGCCTGCTCTGCCACGTCCGCTGTCAATCACCCCTGCAGGAGCTGCAACTCCTGGCTGGGGCCCCTCCCGAGGAAGCTTCTGTCCAGCTACTCAGCCCACCACGCCTGGCGGGGCAGAGAGGCCTGGGAGCTTCGACAGCTGCCACCGGCGGCCGGCCCCCCTCAGGCTGAGCTGGCGGCGGGACCGGCGACAGGGCCAGGGGCGGCAGGGGTTCCAGAGGATAGGGGTGGTGCTGTGGCGGCCCCGGGCTTGTGGGTGGCGCGGCTGACTGTGCTGCCTTTTGGCCGTCAGGAGCCGATTGTGGTGGAGTCGGGTGAGTAGGGGTAGCTGGTTGGGTTTCTGAGATAGCATGGGCCGGTGGGGGGTTGGTGGTAGCGGGTTTGGGTGCTCGTCCCTGCAGCGGGACTGCGCACGACTCGCGGCAGAGAAGCCACCGAACAACAGCAGGTCCGCTTTAGGTGGGCTAAGGCCCTCCTCTCCCTTGCTGGTGTGGGGACCCAGAGCACCCAAGGCGCCCTCCCAACATGCCCAGAAAAATCATCACCCAACAGCTCAACCGCATCGCTTTATTCCAAATGCAGGCCCCTACCTTAATCAGTCGGACGCCCACCAGGCGGCCGCCCTGCGCGCCCTGCACCTCCTCGAGCCCCTCGACGCCGCAGCCCTCAAGGGCGCCACCCGCCTGCCCGGCCCGCCGC